AACAGCCATCAAGGAGGGTCACAAAACGTGTGACGTCACCGCAGCGACCCCGCGAGAAGCTCCTGCTTGGGCGGTGGGTTTGCGGAGAGATATTCCCTCCCCGAGCCGCCTCCAGGGAGTCACCGGCCCGAAGTCTCATTGTCACTGCGGTGGGGGAAGAAAGTGGCCTTATGCTGCCCCCTCGCGGCTGCCGGGGGAGGGGCGGCTCCGCTGCCTGGGTTTTTGGACGGTCGCAGACCGGTTCCCTGTCACTGTGTGTCTGTGTCTAGCACAGTGATAGCGGGCGGTGTCCTCGGGCTTCAGGCCGGTCATTTGCAGGTACAGCGCGCTCTGGGAATTCTCCCTGGAGATAGTGAACCGGCCTTTCACGGAATCCTGGTATGCGGCAACTAATCCGGTGTTTATACCACCGACCCACTGAAACCCCTTCCCGGGAACGTCCCGGATCCACTCCATTGTATAGTCAGAGAAAGCGAAGCCGGAGGCTTTGCAGGAGAGGCGCAGAGAGTCTCCGGGCTTCTTCCCATCCCCTCCGGACTCCACCAAGTTGATCTGGGACCGGCCACCTGGGAACAAAGACGCGACACAAAAGTTAATATCAAAACGTCAAATAAGAAATCTCCGTCCGTTTCTCCAGTGTTTTTAGCTAGAAACTACCTGGCAAAGCTGCCCCCAGGAAAACTAAATAGACCCAACATTTCATTTCCCCTGTCGCTGGGTGGGAGAGCTGGCTGGTAACTGAACAGACACCGGGGCTGCGGGGTCTCTCTCTGGGTGCAGCCTAGGGGGAGAGAGACACCGATTTAAGCAGGCAGCGGTCACCGCCATTTGCATATTCCCCTCCTTATCAGAGACATAACCGCCTTCCCTTAACGAGCCGTGGAGTCTCTGGCAGAAGTATACGTCCCCCTCCCTAGGTTGTTTGTGCAGCGCCTGGCACAGCGCCTGGAGCGGATGCCGATGGGCTCTCACAGCGCTGGGGGTTAAGGAGAAATGACGCTCGGAGTTTCAGGGCCTCCTCGTAGTTTGTGCCCCCAGAGGCTTCTTGGCAGCTTCTTGCGCAAGAACATCTTGAGCACGTACACTTCCACACTGCCATGTGGGAGATGTGTGGCAGTGTGGACGCTTTCTTGCGCAAGAAAGATCCCATGGTCATTTTAGACATAGGGCTTTCTTGCTCAAGAAACCCCTGCCACGACCACACTGCCCTCTTGCGCAAGAGATCTTACACCTGTTCTGGAGTGTGACCCATTAGCCACTGTTCCCGGGGCTGCGATTGCAGGGGCAGAGCCACTAGGGGGAAATGGACCCGCTTCCTCTCTCTATGCCGCGCTCTCTCTCTCTCTGGAAGTCAGAGCTGTATCATTTGCAGCAGGGGGCCGGGGTGCATATAGGGGATTTCTTGGCGAAATAACCTCACATTGGCCCCGCAATCTCTGCTCCCTCCTTTGCACTGAGGCGTCCGTTTGGAATCTCCTCTGAGCGGGAGGGTCACATCCGGGAGCAGCTCAAACATGCAAAGGGTCTGGCCAGTGGTAGGACATGTGCCCTGCAAGGCAAAGGTGGAGCGACAGTGACATCACAACGGCCTTTTACAGCTCTTCAGCTGATTGGCTAAAGCCATTTCACAGGGAGACCATGACAAAGCCAGGTGGGACAGGAGCGATCTCAGAGACCTTTGTGGCTTTGCCACAGGAACGAGAATTGATGGTCCCAGAGGCGGGCGCAAGCGAGGAGGCGCCTCTGCGGAGATTTCTCCTTTCCCCAGGATGCGGTGTGAAGGGATTTGTGCGAGGAAGCAGCACTGCGGTAGGGGGAGAAAAGTGATGGTCCCAGATGTGGGCTCAAACGAGGAGGTGCTTCTATGGAGATTTCTCCCCCTCCCCCCAGGCCGCCGCCGCCTCAGCCGCAAATAGCACCTGGGACCGGACACTGAGAATAAGGACACCTTACGAACCAGGAGATTCTGCCCCAGGAGAATCCTGGGGGTCCTCGCTGCAGAAGGGCAAATCAGCTCTCACCGCTGCGCGAGCGGTGCCTGCTCCACCGGCTCAGAGGGACTTTGGCTGCAAAGAGGGGACGTGGCTGGGCAGTGAAAGGGTTAAAGCCTCGCGGCAGGTTTTATGGTTTATTCGCCTGGAGGCGCCTTCTCCGTTCTGTGCCCCGCGCCGGGTTGTTCGTGTCTCTGCTGCCCCCGCGGGGGGGCCCCGGG